CCAAGCCCTGGACACTGACCCCCCTCAGCCCAGCCGCGCTGGCCTCGCAGGCCCCTCCCGAGCTCTTGGGGGGCCCTGAGCAGGACCCCTGTTCCCAGCGGTTTTTAGTGGCCTTATCTGAACCGGGGCGGGGAGACCAGGCTTTTAGCAATAACCATAGCTAAGCGCCAGGCACGGTCCCAGGGCCTTCCACACCACAGTGCAGCCCCGGGACACGAGAGACACGTGTGTTTCAGGGGCCACTGAGAGTCTACAGCTTCTGACAATTAAACTGCGACACACCCTGACTGTGAGGTGCGCTGGGAGCTCAGAGGCGGCCAAGATGGGTTTCCCGGAATCAATGAAACAGCATCAATAGCTCGTCTATGCTCCCCACAGTCTCCAGCAGGACGCGTGGCCCCATTGTCCAGGCGAGAACACCGAGGCAGAGACGTGAACTAACTAAGTTACTCCGGTGGCAGAGCTGGGACTTGACCCAGGGCCACCTGGGCCTCTGCTGTACTCGCTCCCTCAACGGGTGCCCAACCCTGCGGCAGGGGGCCGGGGGTTGGGGGGGCTACGGGGGTGCAGCAAGTTGGTAACCCGGAGCAGGCCGGGAGTCTGGGGGAGGCAACGCGGTCACACCGCCGCCTCCGCGTCCCTCCTCTGTGCTCAGGGCTGCAGCCTTCTCCACAGGAGGGGGCGGGGGGCGGGGGCGGGGGTCCCCTGTGTACAGTTCGGGGCGGCGTCACCCACAGCCAGCCCTTCTCTTGGATTCTTGCAGGGCTGGAAGGCGAAGGCAGGGCCGGCAAATGCCTTTCATCTTCACGCCGACCCCAGCCCATCAGGCTCTGTGCGGAGGAGGGCGGAGGCCGGTTGGGACGGGGGAAAGCTGCCGCGTGTCTCCAATGACATCAGCAGGAGGGGGGAGCCCAGGGCCGGGGAGCTGCGGGGCCCTTTAATGTAGGACCCGAGACCCGAGAGCCCACCGCCTGCCCAGGAAGGTGAAGGGTCTCCCAGCGTCCAGCTCACGGTGGCCTCTCTGAAGTCCAGGCCTCGCCGCCAGGGGTGGGGAAGAGGAGAGGCGGGTGGGGTGGGGCGTCCGGGGTGGTGAGGGACCTCCTGGCACCGTCCACAGCCTGGAGTTTGTGGAACCCTGGGGGGAGGGGGCTGCCGCGTGCCCGCTGGGCCTCCACGGGGCACCCACAGGATCCCTGCCCTGGCAGCTCTTTCACCCCCATAGCAGGCCATAGTCCGGCTGCCGGGAGCGGAGGGGTGTGTGGGGTGTGGTGTCAGCGGTATTCAATCTTCTTTGCATGTTCGATAGACTTCACCAGCGAAGCCAGCTGATCCTGGAATTTTGTTTGTTGCCAGGTGTTTGAATTCTGTTTCAAGTTCCTTACGAGGGATCAGTTAGTTCAGGTTTTCCAGTTTTTCATGATTCAGTTTAGGAAGGTTGTATGCTTTACAGATTTGTTCATTTCTTATAGTTGGTTCAGTTCGTTGGCATATAATTGTTAGCAGTAGCCTCTTTGATGCTTTGTGTTTCGGTGGTGTGTTTTAATATCTCTGGGTGTATTTCATTTACTTAGGCTCTCATCCAGTGCTTCTCAACCTTCTGGCCCTTTAAATACAGTGCCTCATGTTGTGACCCAACCATAAAATTAGTTTCATGGCTACTTCATAACTGTAAGTGTTGCTACTGTTATGAATCGTAATGTAAAGCGCCCTAGAACATTCCAGGGACAGCTCTTAGGAGGCACGTCTTCATCTTTAAGGGAGAGCTGGTATTTTTTGAGGGCAGCAGACCTTCCAGGGTTGGGTGAGCCAGGCCAGCACCACCTCCCCTCCAAGAAGGGGCCCAGCAGAGGAGGACGAGGCAGGATGGGGGGCTGGAGGGGCCCCGAGTCTGCCCCAGAGCCAGAGGGTTCAGGCAGGGTCAGGCTTAGCAGCAGGTGAGATTGCTTACTTCCCAACTGCCTCTGGGAACAGAGAAAAACGGAAATCAATTACGTGCAGAATTGTCAGTCGGAAGAAAGCTGTCGCCCTCGATTTAGAATTTACAAACAGCTCATTAAGCCACGGCAGGAGCTGTCGTCAGCCTG